TATAGACACAAGTGTTTTACAGGAAAACATGACGCTCTTAAATTCATAGAAAATTACAGTGTTCTGTGATGAAAGTATCACATATTCCAAATTCCCACAAATGAAAGTAGTAAGGACTTCACTTCCCACATTTTTTTACCACAGTTTTTGTGAAAACAAGCTGTAAATAATGGTGACCATAGTCTGAGTGATGACATAGTCTGATTGTCTGGGAGAGGAGTCCTGAAAAAGGATTGTTGATGGTAGCAGTGGTGGATGTTCCCAAAACCTGAGCAGAAGTCATAACCAGAGTCAAGTAACTTAATGCAGATGATGACTTCCCCTCATGTCCTCAAAACATCAGTCACTAAAACCAACAACATTACTTTTATTTCCAGGTTACTTTAACCAGATGAGTGGATGACAGAATTGAATGTTCCTCCTGGTTTCGAACCATTTGCTGAGTAACTCTGATTATGAAAGCAAACCCCTGTGCTAGTGTATTTGTGCCATGATAAGTATAGAAGAAATCCAAGGACTGGAACCAACTTTTAGAACCTTTTTTAACCCTATAAATCCTAGTATCAGTATACATATTCTCCATACTGTTCTCTATACATTTCCTAACGTGCTGAAAAGGAGACTTGTTTAACAATCATGAGGTTCTTTTGGTTGGTAATCATTCCCTTTACTCTTGTGACCTTAATGTGCAAATCAGGGGTGATATCCTAAATGCTAGTCACTCTTAGGGGTTTAAGGGCTATTAAATATATATATATATATAAATATTTTAAGAGGAAAAAAGGACGCAACTACATTTTCCCGACAAGCCTGTTTCGTGAATCGCTTCACTCTTCAGGGGTTTCTAACCCCTGAAGAGTCAAGCGATTCACGAAACAGGCTTGTCAGGAAAATGTAGTTGCATCCTTTTTTCCTCTTAAAATATTTATTCCGCTCTGCTTCATCATATTGAGCACTGTTCCACGTGAAAATTGACTTGCAGACTCCCTATATATATATATATATATATATAGAGTCAGCTATAGTGCTATGATAGCAATGAGAAGATTTTCTTGCCCTTGAAATTATGGCATGGCAAAATTACAGAAACAGTTCTAGTATTATCAATTTGCTGGTTGGTTTAATTTCAAAAGAATTACCACTTAGCAAATTTTCAAAGCATGGTCAGATCATCTGAGAACTACTGGGCAATCAAGATGAGAAAATGCATGTGATAACAGTAAGTCCCAAACTAAAAAGCTGTTAAGATCCTTTAAATCTAAGACATATACCAGCAAGAAGAAATCCTAATTATCTTCACTTCAAAGTCTACAATTTTTTCCTAATATTTTTCCAACCTGGACTAGCCATCAATCATTCATCAGATTGTTTTAATCGCTGAATATACAGTGGAATCCTGTGACTAGAGGGGGGCATTGGGGCCTATTAGAAACTACAAAACCATAGGAAAAATCATCCAAAACCGCAAAACTGAAAAAAATTCGATCAAAACCGAAAACTGCATAATAACTGTCAAAAGCAACACATTTTCACATCCTGGTTATTAAAACCCTGATCAACCTGATACAATGGTGACAAGTGGAGCATACTTATGAATTATTGAGGATTTATGAATGCCATGGACTTGGCATTCATATGTTCTAGTATCTGCTTAAATTAAGAGCTGCTCTCTCGAGGACCTTGAACGTGGTCTCTGCAGACTCAGCAGCTGGTAATGGAGCCTAGCTAAATTAAGGAAGTTCGCACAAAAGTCCTCTATAGGATTGCAATTTTGCAGTCACAAAAAGCCATAGCTCTGATAAAGTTTCATCGAAAATCCCTAATCTAACATTTCCAATTGCGAACTAAGACCTGAAAATTTGGAGATTCTATTAGAATGTTGAATTAATCAGTCACATGTGGCCTGTAACTTGGTCACCAACTTTGAGGTGGCATTGATAAAGAAACCCTAGCAATGTTTCGTGCTTAGCCATATCCTTCCCTCCCACCCACCTTGAGGGGGCAGGGTACGGCTACATGTAGGCTACCTAGGGATCCCTGTGATATTTCAATTGGTTTGTCATTCTTCTCTATAACATTTATGTTTAGCTGGTATTCAAGATCAGTGGAGGTTTGTAATTGCTCCTCAGATTGAAGAGAAACCGGAACCCAAAAAGGTCAAATGGGAAAAACCAAAAACCACACTGGATATCAAATCCCAAAATGCTAAATGCCAAAACCAAATGCTAAAAAATAGAAAATCCACAAACTGCAATGAAAACCAAAATTGAGAAACCGTAGTTTTTTGGCACAAAACCAAAAAACAGATCTAAAAAAATTGCCAAAACCGCGAAACCAAAAATCCCAAAGCTTCCCTTTTATTACCATCACCAATGGGTCAAAAAAAAAAAAAAATGTCTTAATCACTTCTCAAGTTGCCTAAGCAGATTTTAGCTCCAAGATTTATTCCTTTATCATGTTGGTAATGAAAACAGGAAGAGTATTGCTTCTTTCTAAATAAAGTGGCTTTAATTGCTTAGTAAATGACAGAGATCAATGAAATTGACATGTAACAGGCGTTTTGGTTATATAAATTAAATGCTAGTGGCCATATTAAGTAGGAGAAATTATGAATGGATTCTACTGTAAGGGGTTTTAAAATGTGGCCATTGGCTGTATTGACAGATGACTGCATCAACAAGGGTTTTTTGCAAGAAAACATATGGCAGCTTTCCTAGGCCGGAAAAAGTGGCCATAATAACAATGTGATCGAATTATTGAGGTGGCCGTTAGGCAGGGTTCTACTGGACATATCAGCTACGGTGTTTTGAACTGCAAATCGACATCTCACATGCAGCCTTCCAAGAACTGATAGAACAGTGACAAATTTATACATGTACATATTTGTATCAAAAGTGAAATTCATACCCACAGTCTAAGAGGATCAGGAAATTCTCGTTTAACAACTGCGTTGATGCACAAGTATTTGACACATTCCCAATCTCTACAGTAATCATAAGCGTAGCCATCTTTCAAAACACTAGATGCTCGAAACGTACGTAGCACGAAATATTAATTATCTAATCATAAAAAGACATTCATTTCATTTACATTGCATCGCGTTCTGAAACTTTTCAAGTACGCTTCTCCAAATAGCACGAGGAAATCATATGATCGAGGAGAATTTTTTAAACAATTACGTACGCAAGGTCATGTTCAAAGGGTTCATTTTGACACAATAATAATTGACTCGTCAACTCGTTTTAAAGCGAAAACCACTACCTCGGTGGTCGAGATTAGCAGAACGTAATTAAGTAAAGCACAGAAAGGAAAAATACATATAAAATAAAATCCTGATGGAGTCTGATCATTGCAATCCCATCCCAAGATCGCATAACTATCCTGAGAACAATTTGAGAATGTTTACTTACCCTCAGAAATTCCTACTGAGTGTTAAATCGTCCTTTATGCGAAGGCATCTTATCACCCTGACACTCTCTGGCAAGAAAGTGCAAAAAATGAATTAAAACAACTGAAAAAAAAAACCGAATGCAATCAGAAGTACCATGGGTGCTTTCTACGTAACATTACCAATTAAAGTAACTGAGAACGTTCAACAACTACTTGAAATATCCACCGGAAGATGAAGTTCTAACGTAACAACATAAGCTTCTCATCTTTTGCCGGTCAAATTGTGCAAAATTTCGCCTGACTTTTGAAACAAAAAGTCTATAGCCGAGATTAGTATAAATTACATAGCTTTAAGCCTTAGAGTGAGTATGCAGAACTTGCTAAATACTCGCTTAACTTGATCCAAGATAAAAATAGCCTAAAATCATTATGTTTTAGATAAATACCCTTCACAAAGAGAGAGCATATCGGAAACTGAACCCACATGTAAGAGCTCTGGATCAAACAGTTGCACGGAGTTTAGATAAAAAAGCAAAGTTAAAGAAATCAGAAGACGTTCGCAACCCTTTCAGCCCAAGGAGCGAAAGAAAAATAACGAACCTCACTGCCTTTGCTTCCGTCTGTGACGCTGTCACGAGTTTTTCAATCCTCTTAAACGTGAGCCCGCATTTTAAGTAAACATTAAGCGGTAGCGATAACTTCACGCAATTTCAACAACAACGTGCAATTCCTCCGCACGGATCTCAAAGTTTCCGTCTTGAGATGTTAGTTACAGATCAAGCATTACTTAACAGTACAAAAAATAATTTAAAAAAGCTGTGCCCTCTTCCCAGCCACGAGGTAGCGGGTCACCAATTGGAGATATATATATATCACTTTTTAAGTGTCATGTTAAAACATGACTAACATTTAACAGTTGTTGACGCATTGCAAGGTGAGACTGGAACTCCAATAAACACCACGATTTGAAGAAAAATAAAACAAAAAATTTTCTACTATGTTTTCTTAAAGGAAAAACGGAACTGGAATGAACCACCTCCAATTAATATTTTGTGAAGGAAGGGGGTATTTGAGATTGGACTGTTGGGATCTGTTACGTGTTCCCTATTTCATCATTTCTTTTTTTCCTTTTTATGCTCCATGTTTTATAGCGTCCATTTGAATAAAAGGCTGTAGTAAGACTGTCAATGCAAGGAAAAAGATAAAGGAAATATGGTACTTCTCATTTAATCTTTAGGAGTGCGGTGGACCCGAACTCGGTGGGGGGGGGAGATTAAGTGCTGTCGGTTGGTGTCTTGGTTTTTGTTAGCCCTGCTAAAAAGAGGTCACCATATTCCCACCAATAGCGTGGCTCTCTTTTCTGCATTTAAGCACGCACACACACACATACACGAAAGCCACCATCCCTCCCTTCACTCCGACGAAGGGCTAACAATCGAAACGTTAGCTTTGAAACTCTCTACGGGGGCTGATTATCAACTCAGGTGTTAAAACCAAATTATCGTGATGTACGTACTTCTCCAACGACGCAACCAAGTTTCTCTAGAAACGAACCAAATTTGTCACGTGATCAGACTGTAACCCGACCCAGTGCATTTACGCAATCATAACATATTTTAACTTCGCTGAGCTGCCATATTGTTTAGCCCTGTTTTGGACTTTTCTTGAAGGAGAGAAACCTGGGAGATCGTGGCTGTTTTGGAATGCTACCGAGACCTTTATATTTCCCAAATCACAGTAGTCATTTAAGACGTCGATCCAGAAATCGTCGGAGTTCACGTCGCCCAAAACCAGAATACGAACGAAACATCTTTTCCGCATTTTTTGCCCTTGCATCCGCTGTGCTTCTTGCAATCGCAGAGGCAGAACCGAAATGGCTTCACATCGTCAGTGGAAAGTGCGAAGGAAGGTACATTGGCTTGTACAAAGTCATTGCATATAAACACCCCGAGGAACTGAGTAAGTCTGATGTGAAGCCCTAGAAGAATTTGACATGTTATGTGGAAACCCTTTCCAAATGATGTCATTTTAACGAAGTTGATCATAATTGTTACTTCCTCATTTGCTTTTTCTTAAACTCCTTGATCTGTTGTATTATTTGCAAAAACCTATTTTATATCCGATCAGTTGTCACAACAGTCTCCAATTAATTTTCTTCAACCTTTGTAATAGATAGTGCAAGTTTAGCTGCTAAATTGATTAGCAATAATGCGATGACCAATTCGATCGCCACGGAGACGACTGAAAACTTTTTCTCCACTGACCCGTTTTTTTTCTTTCAAACGGATTAAATGTTATTAAGGAAATGGATACCTTAATTGTTGCTCTACTAAATTCAAAATTCTGAATATTTCTTAGGTCACATCGTTACTGAAAGAAGCTGTTTTCAGTTGTTCATGGATAGAATCAAAAATATTTTGACTACATATTTTCAGATATTTAGTTAATGGGTGATTTTTGGTCGATCGGAAAGGACATTACTTGACATAATTCGGTATGTTTTTAAGTCTTTGATTAAGAAAAAATGTTGGTTGATCCTTAATAAAACGTGTCAAGACTCAAACCTGCCAACTGCCGTCTACATTGCTTATGCCAATAGCGGGTATGCCAAGTAAAATGCAAACAAGACATTTAGAGTCAAGGTGTGGATATATTTGAGCAAGGCATACTCCATGTTAGCTCTCAAATAAACTTGTGTCTTCTGCACCCTGCAAATCTAAAATCAAGCATGTACTGGTACAGCAAGTTGCTACCCAACAGCCAGTTGAGGTAAATCTGCTACCTCTGTGCTGATGTATACTTGTGTCTTGTGCCCCATGTTGTTTATTCTTGCAAGCGATGGGTTCCAACAGTTATCACCACAGAAATAGCATTCTAGTCCCACTTATGAAAAGGCTTACTTAAATAATTTATATTTGAGTTGTAAAAGTTGATTGCAAGTATACACATATACAAAGCATGAATTAAAGAAATTTTGGGATCTAAAAATTTTTCAACTTGAAGGAAAAAAACCCTTTTTTGGGGTATTGAAGTTCTTAATGGTTTTAAGCTGCCTTGTTTGCTGTTAATTTTGCATTCTCATCCTTTAAGAAAAGAGTGCTTATTTTTTACTCCTATGCACTTGTTTTTGATTCTTACCACTGGTTTGATGGGATTTTTGTTTTTTTTTTTGCATAAAGTATCAATTTCTTTTAATTTTTGGGAAAGGGGGAAATTTCTGATTGTACTATGGTCATGTAGAATTTTAACATCTGTTATCACCCTTGTAATGTTTATTATATAAATGGGGAGGACATGGAAATGTTTGGTTTCTCAATAGTTATGGACAGGGGATATGGCATGTTTGGAGTGGGTGCAGTTTTCTGTAGTATTTAGAATCTTTTATTGTTGTTCACAGCTTCATACTGTTACACAAGCACCATTGTACTTCTCTTACGACTGGTTGTTGCACTAAGTTGTGTGGGAATTGTGTTTAGCATGTTTGCCTGTTTGCTGGATTTGTGTGGCACATTAAACAGATGTCTCAAAGTAGTCAAGGATTATTCTATTGGAAATGTAGTTACAGGTAAGAATCAATGTCTTGTGTTGATAAGTAAGAAAGTGTTGCCATTGAGTAGAAATATATGACAGGTGTAATTTGTCTGATGATAGACTTCTAATCAATCTAATTCTAAGTAAGATAATTTTGGTTTTATCAACTGAGTTGATAGAGAAATGTAAATAGGCCACCAATTAGAGTTTCAAAGCTGATGTTTCAAGCATTAGCCCTTTGTCAGAGCAAATGGGGAACACAGTGCCACAGTTCTTTAAAAAATAACCCCTTTATTCATGATTCTGAACTAGTATTCACAACATAGTTTTGTCCTCATTGTCAAGTTATATAGGTAAATACTTAATATCTTGAAGACACTGAAACACTGTTTTATTGTTCCTATTGTTTTTCATGTGTTATTTTTTATTTGGATAATATAAGGATTGATGACGTTGGTAATCACAGCTACAACTGTAAATTACATTAAGGATGAAGAAAAAATTGATGGTGGATATTTAGCTGCTGAAGCCTAAGGCTGAGGTAGATAAATCAGACACAAGGTTTGATAATGCATGATGTGGTGCAAAAACCAATTCAGTAATTGTTTTATTCATACATTTTTAAAACACATTGCAAAAGAAGACACTTCTGTTTGAGTCTGCAAAAGTTTGAGAACACTGCACAGATGAGAGGCTGGGAAACTTGGCAGACTTTGAACTCAACATAATAAATGTAATATCCACTGCAGATATTGCAGTCATCATGTTAACTTCACATGCTATATGCTCTCAACCAATCAGATATTTCATAGTAAGTCTATTGTATAATAAAATATAATTACTAGATGAAGTCAGTTAACAGTAATTTTCAGCTGCTGTTCAATTTTTCTGCAGTTGTGATGTGTGTTGCTACAATCATTATTGTTTACATGGTGACAAGGATACTTGAAGAAGTTGGTGAAGAGGACAGTAGTGATCCCGCCAAAGTTAAATTTGAGATCAGTTTTTGTCTTGTGGTGGCTGCAGGAGGATCATCGGTACTGGCAACTGCATTGAGTTTAGTTATGCACTGTTATCTACACCGCATGAGAGAAAGAACTCAATCTGATGAAGAGCTATCCCTTGAACTGATGTACTCCATGGTACCTGCCGACAGTATCTCAGATGTTCCACCTCCCGCATACTCACCCTGATCACCACAATTAGTGAACTAACTCTTACAATGTAGGTATAATAATATTAGTAGTTATATGCAGACAAGGAAGTGAAATCAGAAATTCTAACAGGACATTGATGTTAGTTTTCAATTTTCAGAAAATTTTAATGACTTCAATTTTTTCCCAGAAGGCATTGCATTTCAACAGCAGGCTTTGTTTCCTTGGTCATTCAGTGTTTTCAACTGTACCTCATGCACCAATCAATTTGAAGCTTTAAATCCCCTAGGGGCCAATTCGATACTGGAACTGTCAAGTCTCTCCACCAGATCACATGTGTTTTATCTTTTAATATGGAAGTGCTTAAAGGCAGAGAGTTCACTTTCATAAGCAGATGGCTCAGAAGAAAAGGTCCACAAGAAAAACACTATACCTGATCATGCCTTTCTCCCAAGAAATTGGTCATCAAATCCAACCTTGGGTGGGGCATTTAAACACCCTATTTTAGTCTGAAAGGGTGGGGTGGTAATTTGAACTAACCAATCTTCAAAAGTTAAAATGCTTGGGGGCTTTCCTGAGGGGGGGGGAGGGGTTGGTGGGCTTCAATTGATTGATGCGTTAGTCCAAATGCTTGAGAGCTTTCTTGGGGGGAGGGGGAGAGGGCTTCAATTGTTTGATGTATTAGCAGGTGGTACATGTTTGCAAATCTTGAATGGATATAAGTGTTGATTTTTATGGTGAAAACCACCAGTTTTAGACTTTGTAACTGTTGGTAAGTGCATGTATGAGTAAGAATTTTGAGGTGTTTGGAAAGTACATCATTTGATTTTCGTTTGTGTCCTAAATTGGATAAAGGTCAGCTCTGACACATTTTTTGATTCCACTTCCTTAGTTTAAAGCATTTTCATGAAAGCTGAAATTTGAATTTGCCTTTATAAGGCATAACTTAAGAAACTTGATACTATGCCATAGAAAATATAGCTGCTTACATAATACAAAGGCAGTTCAATAATCAATGGTATTAAATACGACCTTCCCGGTGTGTGCTAAAATTTTAGTCCTGCAGAAGTTTGGTAACTGTTGCTGATTCTAGTTTCTTTCAAACATCTAAGCAATGGAATAATTACTGTATTTGACATTAATTTTTACATTATGAAAGTTTCAAAGTTGACATAAGATTGTAGACAATAGGAAGCTGAACACTACTCAAAATTCCTGTTGTCACACTGATTATGTTAGGCACTATATTTTTAATGGCATGGTATTAAATACAGTCATACGACATTTTCTAGTGTTGTATCCTCAGAATGTCTTACTCGTCACTTGTTTTGTATTGACGTACATACTTGTCTAATATGTGTCTGTCAAAAGTACAGGTTACACATATTCCATTGAATACCATGAGAAAGCGATGCATATCTTATTTGAAGGTTAGCCACATATATATCATTACATTTTGTAAAGTGATGACACTTTCAACCAAAAAAGCAAAAATATTCTCTACCTTGCCCGCAAAATATAGAGAAGATCATTCCTTTTTTTTTTTTTTTTTTTTTTTTGCAATGAGGGTTATAAAAGTGATGAAACTGGTGAGTTGGAAAATCTATCAGGAAAAGTTTGATGCCATACAGGAAAAAAAAAAATGCTAGCAGAAAACTCATTAAGTGATTAGCAGCTTTATGTGAAATAGCTGCTGAGCAATTTTTATATATTTTTTGGTAAAGCAAAAGAGTTGAAACTCACTAAAATTTACATGTAGCAGCTCCATTTTCTTGTGATTCCTTGTAGAAGCAAGGATTTTAATGGACAAGATACACTGAAAAGGAAAAAATGTGACAATTATTTGTAGAAAATTTGAATCCATTTGTAATTCAAGAAAGACTTGGTGTACAGATGTAGACATATAAAGTGAATTTTATGGGGGGGGGGCAGTTTTGTCTATCTTATTCAGTAGTTTGCAAATGAATTGGATCCAGATTGTATTCAATTTGTAAAATAACATTTAGATGGTTAAGTAAATTATTACTTGTCATGAATTTAAGAAGTACGGCCAATCAACTAGCTTTGGAATAGCAGAGGCCAACTTAGCACTAGTCGTAACAATAATACTTAAAAATTTAGCAAGGAATGTAGATGAGGTGAAAAACCCCTTCACCTCTTCTACACCTTTCTATTGAGCTTTCAGTTTAAGTTTGTTACATATAGCTGATTTAGAAGTTATATGGTGTCTAAAACAAACTGCTTAGTGACTTTCTGGATCATATAAGCCTGTACCTTGAATGCAGCTTTGCTCTAGTGGACTGCTGGCTTGAGGGCACCAATTTTGAAGATGCATTAGGTGTCTTGGCCAGTATTGGTTTTATTGCATAATAATGTAAGCGTTCATGTCATGATATGTAACCCACATTCTGTCCTTCAATGATCCTTGAAGTTATCCAAGCCTTTTGGCTTTCCCTGTGGAAGTGTTGTCCCTTTTTTTTGCATTACATTTCAGTCTCATTCAGGCCTTTTGGGTTTTAGGTAATTGTTCAGCTACAGCACATAGTATCTTCACAAAGCTTTGCTGGTTAAAACCTTCTTTCACATGTTCCACTTCTGCTTGACCAGTGTATTACGGTAGATGATTTGAACAAAAATCCACTGAGGAAACACAGTATTTTACCTTATTTCTGGTCATTTGTTCTCAACTCCCAACAACTTGAACTCTTATCAGCTCAAAACTTTCTGCTAGTAATTAGGAATTCAAGTCATTTTGTTCATGTAGAGTATTATTTCTGAAATTTTTTATGGTCAACTGAAACCTTTTGGCCTCTGCCAGTAAAGTTGCTGCTAGCTTGTGCAATTTTTTCAGTTCATGACAAATTCTTGGTTTCCAAGAAAACAACTTTTGTTTGCATGCTACAAAATTATTTTTGTATGAAAAGAAGACTCCTTTCTTAGCATTTTCTGAAGTTTGCAGATTAAATATTTGAAAAATCTGTATTTGTTGAAAGGTACATGAATGTAAAAATGGAGATGCAGTCCGTGATGAAAAAAAATTCATTCTGAAAACAAGACACCTTGATAAAAATATCTCCTTTAATAAATTGCAATTTTATAGTTGTAGCATCCGGTAATAATAACATACATGTTTCTGTACATAGCTTAATAGAAATAAACAATGCCTTTTTTATCAAAATTAAGTATCTTATAATTTGCCTGTTGAATATTACTTTAATTAGACCTTGAATTTTGAGTAAGTTTTTTCCAACTCATCAGAGGATTGAGATAGATAGGGGCTTAAGGGTTAATTTCCAGACAGTCATGCTGTCATAAATCTGTGTGAGTGATATTCACAACAGATATGATCAGAGAGGGTCAGGAAGTTGAGTCATTCATTCAGTGGTTGGAGAGTACAGCTAGGTACTTTATAAAAGTCTGTACTCAAGCCTATTGACCCACCCAGCTGGAGCTTATCCTGGTTTCCTTAATGTGAAGTGACTAGTAGTATATTGCAACTCCCCTGTGGTGGGATGCTAGTCCATTACAAGGTAACCCTCAATATTTCATCACGCTTGATACTAAGAACTCAAACTGGCAAGATGTCCTACAAACAATGACTGCTGACTCTCCGCTTACTACCATCAACCCAGAGATCTTGTCTTTTCTCTATAATTGTATTTCCGGATGTACAGACGCAAATATTGATTGATATGTTACTTTTGTCACACATGGCCAATCTCACTCTAACAACCCTACCCTCGTACTAAAACCTGCTTACTGTGAAGCCGTGACTTTTCAGGCCTCGCTTTTTTAATAGAATTGTAAAACCCTGGAACATCATCTCCAACCTCGCACCTCATGACCATTTTTCTAGTCTAAAAAGTATGTTTAAAATTTTTCTTTAATTTCTTATCAGGATTTTTTTTAACTTGGGATACTTTTTCCGTTTGCGCAATCCCTTCTGGTCTTTTCATTTCTACCACTGATTTACTATATACTTTTATATCACGAATGAGACCAATAAAGTTGACGAGCTTTCCTGAAAATTCGGCAGTACCCATTTATACTCCTGGGCGGAAAGAGACTCTGTGGTAGTAAAGTGTTTTTCCCAAGAACACAACACACTGACCGAGCCAGGTCTCGAATCCGGACCTCTAGACCAGGAGTCACTTCCTTCTACAGTTCACAACTTCCGTCCAAATCTGATCAACCACAGGACTTCTTTCGAAAGAGAGGTTATGATCAAGAGGAGAGGAGATCTGGAAATGAATTTCCTCTTGAGGCGCGCATGGCGTATGGCGCGCAGTGCGTCAGATTACACGCGTTTGCAACATCTAAGAACACGACGCGGTCCCTCAATATGGCCCGTCTAAGAGATTATGATTGCATCGGCTTTGATCTTGATCACACGTTCATTCAGTACAGACTTGATAATCTTTATCCGGTAAGTCTCCAAGTTACTAGTCGAATGAGGTACTCGTTCTGCATATTCCTTTGCTATTAATAAGGCTTATGGTTTGTTGACAACTAAGACAGTCTTCTTGTTGTAGATGATATACAGTTGTTTTGCGCAAGTCTTAGTGAAAGAAAGAGGGTATGATTGTAGCTTGCTGGAGGATGACTTTGAAGATTTCAAGGATTTCTGGTACGAGTTGGATTCGCAGTTCGAAGCACCATAATTAAGTCAAGCTAATATCGCCTTCCTTTTGTGACTTACACCCGGGAATCAAATAATATAGACTGAGTATGTGAATAACGACGAAGCAGTGAGAGAAAATAAACTGCTGTCAGATCTGCGTTCCCGTGTTCCTGACTTCCTTTTCTCTTCAATAATTGATTGTAACCAGAAGGGTACTCAGTTCAATGTTTGCTGGGTATGTGCAGCTGGCCTCTCAGAACCCCCTAGCTTCCCATTTTTAAGTCCCTACGAAACAGAATTTTCTTAACCCAAAAATTCCAAAATTGTGTAAACTGTATCAGAAATGTAACCCCTTTAAGATTAATCCAGGCGTGAAAATGCAAACCTCATCTAGCGGCACATCTCCATCAGCCCATTACTAGGAAGTTCTCCCCCCCAACCCCTGGATCCTAGCTTTCATCCACATCTATTGATGCATTGACAGATAGTTGATTGACAACAGGGGTACCATTCTTTGAGTGTGTTGACAAGAAAGATGAACAAATTGCTACACAGGTCACAAATGTCGCCACCTCACTTAGACTGGTGCAAAAGTCATGCACCAAAGGAACCAAAAGCACATGGGCTCTTCTAAATTGACCTATCAGTGTCTAAAATTGCCATAAATTTCTTTACATTCCATTGTATGTCTTACTTGTGGTCATCTACGGGGTCTTTTTGTTTTTGTTTTTGTTTTTATCACTTCTCTCCATCCATACTATAACAGGTTTCTAGGAATTTCAAGTGTCATGGAAATTTATTAAAAACGTATACAAGAAAAAAAAGAAGAAAATACCTTACAAAACAAAGTAGGAATGGAGAAGGACAGGGTATAGTCAAGAAAGAGTTTTCAGAAGATTGTGTAGTAAATTTGCATTGTAGTCTGCGAACAAAGTATAATTATAGTGAAATGTTATTTAAATTCTGATACAGTTGGCAGTATTTCACTAATTTTTCAGCCTGAAAGGCTTGGTCCTGGATACCAAAAAGGGAAATATTTTAAAACTTGGAGTAGATGGCTTTATTCTAAGGTGAGTAATATGCCTGAAGTTATTGTAAGGTTCTTAATGGGCTATCACCCATGAGAGGGACTAGTGTCTAATTTCATCCCAGCTGAATCACTCATAAAAGTAACAAGAAAAAAGGAAATGAGCAACAACTAAAGAATCTCTTGATTGTTAATCAAATTCTCCTTGTGAGCACCTTAGGAAATGTATAGAGAACAATAGGGAGAATATGCATACTGATGAAGTGTGCAAACGCTTAAAGGTATCGTCAGCTATTGAAGATATACCTAGTATCTTTAATTGGTCGCACTCAAGAATCTAGTGAGAGTTGTTCGTGGTTACTTGGCAAAAAACTGTCGCGCATCTTTTGTGCTTTCCAAAGTTCCTAATAATGTGCTTGATATTTTTTTGAATGCATGCTGATGCCTGAACTAACCATAAATTTGTTCCACTTTATCAGGTTAAGGTTTTTGAGGTTTCAGAAATGGAAACATCTTACATACCATCTATCTGTTGTGGATAACTATTATATGTCTAATGGGAAATTTGTTCAATAATTAATATAATCTGGTGGAAAAAGATGCTTTTTTTGAAACAAGTAGTTGCAGGGTTTTTTATAGTACATGGCATGTCACCTAACTATGTGAGACAAAATGAATGTATGAAATGCAAAGTGACGTGATGCCCACCTGCTTGCGGCATCTGTATCATTTACCATAAAGAGCAAGTTTAAAAGGACATTATGATGATGTAATTCTGAAAAGATGTAATCAATGTCTCTTCACCTCAGGGCTTCACATGGTACACAGCAGTTGACAAGGAAAGAGATTACAGATTGCTATGGGGAACAATGCATATGGCCAAAGTTTAACATCCTGAAAGAAAATCCTATTCAGCATTGTATGTTAAATGTTTAAAGACAGTACAGTTCTGTAGTTTTTAATCAGTAGAAATCCTGGCAATCAATGTATTTTAACAAAATGTTTACCCTATATAAATTTATTAATTAACAGTATTTTACAAATTTCTTTTCAGCCAACGTTTTCAGAGTGTTTGAAAATTACTTTGACCTTCCAGTGTTGGTTATATGTGCTCGTATTGTTGACATAACTGACAAAAAGGTAGATATGATTTTTGAGTATTTACATGGAAGAAATCTCTTATTATTATTCTATAGTATTAGCATTTATTTGATAGATGTCTTCAGAATCATGTTCCTTCTTTTTGTGAAGGTAAAACCCATACCAAGAGTGTTTTTTAGACACAGTACACTTCTGTATTTGAGAATCTGGTGAATTAAGGGCCTACAGGATCTTATTGGTATTTAAATTCACCAAAAGATAATACCCATTTAGCCTGGCAAAGAGGGACAGTTTGAATCACCCTATCATTAAAGAAACAACCAAGTAGTAATGTTCAGAATGTTGAAAATTCTGAAGAGTTTGTGTTGTTAAATGTAATCCTGATGAACAAAATTTTTGTAGTTGGTGTTGCAGTTAAAGGACCTCACCCATATCTCTAATAGTTAAAGTTTCCATGGCTAGAAAAAAAGGAATAAACTTGTACTAATGATAAACTTATGGTCACAATTATAAAAAATACTACAGCAAAGAATGGGAATCTGCATGCAGCTTGCCTGAGAAATATCCTGGTTCTTATATGTAGATGTTTACTGTTTTCAACTCTTTTTGAGAGTTGGAACTTAGGGTCAAGCACTACCTCTCATGTTTGATGTATGACAGGGTCAAATTAAACATTTATACATTTGATTATTATTTTTTAAAATTTTTATGGTTTTCACAGTTTACCAATAGGATATTTGCAATATCTAAATGTTTATAAAGTGTTGACCATTTTGTTCCTTTTTCAACACTCAGTAAAAGTGATACATCACATAGTTCCTGTTTCTCTCTCTTCTGTTAGTTTGGAAAACCAGAGGGGTATAATTTTTGGCCTGATATAATTTTCTCTTTAAGGAAAATTTTTAATCCTTCATCATTCAATATAGGTGAGTCATTTTAATGAACTACTATTTTTAAGAGGTATCAAACCCATAAATTAATTAAATGATTGTTATGAATTTTTCCCAAGGCTAGTGGCTTGCATCATTGGCATCAAATTTACCTTGAATAGTAAAATGGGAGTATTTCAATAAGACAGACCTTTTTTGGCTTCAAACCAATACCTGTAGGTGATTAATCATAATGTGACAAAAAGTCAAGAGACAGTAGACAGTGTTTTATGGTTTCAGTGAAACTCTTGTATCAAAAGTTGTGGGAAACTAAATTTCTTTGTAGCAATATTTTATCATCATAAATAGTCTAAAGGAAGGATTGTATAAATTAAAGCTGTGGTCATTCAGATACATTTGATCAACTGTAATTATTATCTTTAAAGTACTTTGCCTGGCAAATAACAGAACTCTGAGGCTTTGTTTCTCTAACAGAAGATCTGAATTTGGTTTGAGTTTTTCTCCTTTCTTTCTCAGACAAAAAAGAACAGTACTTTTACAACCTGAAGAGAAATATATCCAAGTTTGTAAAACCTTCTCCTGAGAAAATTATCAACTGGATCAAGTCAATGAAAGAGACAAAACAAACAGTCTTTCTTCTTACCAATTCAGATATAGATTATACAAATCTTCTTATGAATTATGCAGTAGGGTGAGTGAACCTAAATGCTTTGGCAATATTCTTTAATTTTTCATTTTTCTAAATATTTTCAATTAGCTCTGACAGATTTGAACACAAATGGTGTCTTAGATACCAGCTATATGTGGCTAGGACTGAGCCAATTTAAAAAAAAATGTACCAAAGGAAACACTATAGATCTCATTTGAAAAATCTCTTTTTTTCTTTCTCCCAAATAATTACTTCTTAAAATAGGACTTCACCAAGATGGATATCTGAGGGTATATACCTTACCTTTTGAATCTGTTGCCTTTTTGCAATCTTTCCCTCTGTGTTTTCTTTCTGTCAAACCCTATTTCAGGCTAGAGGGCCTATGGATATTATGGGTATAGTTGCTGAAAACCCATTACACTTTATATAAAAACTGTATTGTTTTATACTGTTTTGACACACCTTTTTAGGTAACAATTGTGCAATCTTATCAAGATGCCATGTTTGTTTACTTGTTGACATTTTTAAAGCTCACACTATATTTGTGTCCAAATCCCACACACTCAAAAACCCTATGGAGCCTTCTTGACGACCACTTTATGGATTCAATCTCTCTAACATGTTTAGATCCAGATGGGGAGAACACAATCTTTAAGTGCATTTGTATGCTATAGTTAAATGTTTTTCTGTTCTGAGTTTCTTCTACTTTGTTCCTAACTAAAGTGATCACTAAAGGGACTTGATTCTTTCATTAGATAGTAATTTATTATTAATACCAACTGCTTCAAATCAGCAGTTCATTTTCACTTCAATTCCTGACACTAAAATACTCCCAGTGATGTACTCCACTTACAACCCTTTTTAACCATAAATAAGAAATTATTATTAACAAGTACAGTTCTTCTGATCTTGCAAAAATATTCTTTTGCAGAAAACACTGGCCAGAGATGTTTGACATGGTTGTGTGTGCAGCAGGCAAACCAGGTTTGTTTTTGACAACACAAGCGCTGCTTATTTTATCTCCTGTAAATTTAGTTGTTTACCTTATCTTACTTGATGGAGTGAAAGAGAAGTAGCTACCAATTGCTACCATTGTTCTGTTACCTATACACTGTGATACATTTACATTGTACAATTAGTTATTAGTATATGTTTATTATTTTATTTGTCAGTACTTAATATTTTTCTCTTCAACCTACAAAAGGATTTTTCAAGTCAGAAGAGCCACTTATTAAGTTCCATGAACTTGGTAAGATGCATCAAATAATTATTATGTAATATATATTTTTAATATTGCTTTAAAATCAAAGCCTTGGATTAATTCCTCTTTATCAATAGAATTAAATTTTATCTCAACAAAAGCAACCATTTTGTTCATTTAGGTTGGGAAATGGTGATTTCGAAAAAGGTTGGGCTCAGAGTTCTGTTTATTTTTTAAAGTTTCATAGTGTTTATTCTACATGTAGTTACTGTATTACATGTTTCTTAATTCTGAATTGGTACCTTCAGATGGTGAAAAGGAAGTAGGCCCTGTTCAAGAGCTTCAAGAAAACAAGATGTACAGTAAAGGAAATCACAAGGATTTAACCATATTTCTTCAAAAGCAGACAGACCTGGATATGCCGAAGGTAATTACTGTAACTGTAGTTGTAGGCTCAGCTTACTCACATCAAACTTAAAAATACAGCCAAAATAACATGCTCCTAAGTTCCCAAAGTAATGAAGCTTGGAAGCCAATGATCCTCTTAAAGAATTTCAGTTAGCAGAATTACGTAGTGCAAAAAAATCAACATTGCTGCTGAAGGCTCTTTCTGAAACATACCACACTACACCAAGAGTGAATTTGCTTTCTATCAATCTGTGAACATATGCCTAATGTACAGAAATCTGTCATCACCAATTCACTTTGTCTGAAAATTGGCAACAGGTACATTACCTTTTTTGACCCTCTTAATTATACAACACATATAGGTCTTGTACTTTGGAGACAGCATCAGATCAGATCTGTATCCATCAGTAGTCTTTGGTGATTGGAATGTTGTTACTGTGCTGGAAGAGATGGAGTCTGAAGGAATGGTTACATGTCAAGATCAGGTATTCTTTTTCATCCCGCTTCAGGATACAGAATAGTTTCTGATTGAAATAGTTTTGACTTTATGCCAGTCATGTCATGGCTTATTTGATAGATTTTAAATAAATATGCATTCTACTGGTAGCATTCTGAAGTGTACCGGTATTTCAAAATCAGTCTGGTAACCTACATAATGTAGAAAACTCCATTTTGAGTCAGTGAATTTGACTGTCTTGAAAATTTCTCAGTAAACTGAAGAACTGTTGTGGCCTGCTCCTTTGTACTGATCCTTGCTGGAAAAGTCTATTTATTTCACTAGAGATAGGTTAGCTGATGTTGATAACAACTATATACAGCTTAGCTTAACTTAAAAGTCTGTTCAGTGAAAGAGGCAGTGAAGTTCCAAGTTCAACTGTTACAGTGATGAGCAGTTATGGTGTTACTTTTTGTTATATTCTCAGTAGAAGCCAAGGCTTCCACCTTATATACTTCACACATTAAATACATGGATGCACAATTTTCAAAATAGTGATTTTGTTGTTGTTTTTACAATGTTTTCATCAGCAGGATTGTCTTGAGGATGGTCCAAAATCAAAGAAAGCAAGACTGTCTGTGCAAGTATGTTGAATTGTAAAAGCCACAATATTAAACATTTTGGCTGAAATTCAATTAAGTCCTGGACTATAGTGAGTGGCAAAAGTCTTGGTACATTCTACTATGTTTTGATTTTTTTTATAACTTTCTTTTATCTCCCCCTTTCTCTTATAACAATGTTTTCGAGATGAATTTCGAGATTTCTGTTTATTAGGTTGAGTGGGGGTTGCAGACCAACCTAGTTTTGGAAGGTATGCCAACTTTGCCACTCACTGTAGAAGTTCAAACAAGAACAGATTTAATTTACTTTACACCCAAATAATGTTGTGTTTGAGTGGATTGATACTAATGCGTGACATTTTGGTGTTACAATGCCATATTTATTGTCCCCTGCAGGACATTGAGATTGAAAGCTGCAAAGAAGAGGTTCTGTTGTCAAAGCAATGGGGTTCATTCTTTGTGCATGCTGATACTTGTCAAGATAAAATTATTGATTGTAAGTTAGATGGAGATCATGACCTTGTGAAAACATCTGGAAGGAAACAAATCAATACTTTCTGGGGAGATTTGATACAGAAATATAGCACTTTTGTAATTCCACGGCTAGATTTCATCACAGGTTAGTGTGAATTATGTTCCTTGTTTTCACATGATATGCAACATATGCATTCAGCCATATGTTGCAGACAATTTAAAACTATACACAGTTGTGGTTCCCACTAGAGGTAAAAAAAATGTACATAAATTGCAAATAAAAAACCTGTGAAATGTAAATTTGGAATTTAACCCTTTAAATTCTAAACAGTTATTACTTTTCCCATTTTAATGTCTGTACATTATCTGGCAAGCTGGTAATGAGGATACTCAAACTTAGCAGGTAGAAGTTGTTAGCTTGATCTAACACCAAATTCTTAAAGCTCATTAACAGAAAAATGTGTAGCAGCTAGAGGGGAGAATTAACAATCATATCTTGGGAGTTAAAGGGTTAAGATAAGACGACAATGACAAAGCTCTGTTTAAATTTTCTTTGAGAAAATACCTTTCTCTTACCTGAAAAGAACAACTTTGTGATGACTTATCACCAAAAGTTTTACTAAACCAAATACTGCTCTCTTGACAATTTTTCTTGTGTTTCCTTAGAACTGTCTCCAGACCATGCATTTGAAGCCTTCAGTCTTTCAAAGGGAGGTTTCTATCCAGGAAGTCCGAAGTCTCTTCATTTATAAAAAAAACAACTTAATATGTTTCTTATAGTCATTTAATCACTGGTATGCAATCTATTTTATTAAGAATTGTGAGGTCAAATTTAGTTCTCTATCATGAAATATTACTTTAAATTTTCTGTTACTCGTGCCATTGCAAAAATTGTCTGTAGGAATTTACCAGAAATGCCTAGTTTCCTGTCAGTTTTAACTAATGTATCTTTATTTAAATATAAAAGACAGCAATAAAATGTTTTGTTGTATATAGTTACATTTTTTGCTATTCATCATTACCAATCACTAAAAAATTTTAATAGTGTTGTCTCAGAATTTTGTAATGTGTGGGTGGCCTTTACTGAATGATAATGATGAATGAGTGTAACAACAGCACCTGTAATGTTTTAACGATACTCCTTGTATGGAGTGGTCCTCAGTTTTTAATAGTTCGCTGTTCCTGTGATGGTGTACAAATTAAGGATCTCATATTGCCATGCATCTTTTCAGTAAAAGATCACAGAAGATATAAAATGTGGTGAAAACAAAAAAGGTTGTACATGAGGAGCAGCATGCTCTTACCAAATTTTTGTGTCTTTTGTCATCAGTTACAGTACTATTTGTTTTATAGGATGAAAAAAAAAATGGAATGTTGTTAATGGTGACATCATCTGTGGGTCTGTCTTCCAATAAAAGCAGGAAGCAATTAAAATGTGTGTATAATTCAGCTCATCATATAATGTGCTGTCAATCATTCAGTCATTTGAAAATGCTATCAACCTGTACTTTTCCAATCTACCCAATTAAAAAGCATCATTGGGGTCCATTCTTCTTTTTTTGGCAGTGGGTCTAACCCTAAAGAGTACCAATGCCTTTCCAAATTTTGTCAGTGTAGTTTGAGGTCAAGGCTGGGATCAACGCCATTAAAATTTTGCATTTGGGAATATAGGGTCTGAAATTTTCCATTTAGACACTGTCTGTACAAATCAGAGGCCAGAAGCTGGAGTGCACTGTGACAAAAACTGTCTATTTTATGGATGGGGAAAAAAGGCAAATTTGAAATGAACCTCTCAGTAAATGACCTATTGATTGCACTTATTATTATAGAATGTTGAAGGAACTTTTGGTGCATGTACAACACCCAACACTCTCCCTCTGACATACTATGACACTATGACTAGAATTATGTTTCATATCAATATTTAATGCAGTTACAAAATTGTCCCAATTATCAAATAGTGCACCTTAAATAATTGAATTAGATTTCTAAAAGTATAATACTTGCGTCAGGAGTATTAAGAACATATATAGTTACAACATTTTTGTTTTGGATCCTTCTGTACATATAAAAGGACATCATATCTTATTACTTTACCATAGAACTGTACTTCATTTAAATAGCAAAATTAATACACCAATTTTGAGTATGTAAAACTACAGTGAGTGATCACTGACTGAAAATGCCCTTGGCAAGTTGAAAATTACTAAATAAATTGAAGCCCTTTGAGGGAAATTCTAAAACCTTATTTTTCAAGTATCATTAGGTTATATCCAAGTCTTCCAATCCTACCTTTTTTTATCAACCAGACTATTACTAAAAAATCCTTTTCAAAAATTAAATAAAATTGTAAGTTATCTTTTGTACTTTTACTATCACTATCCCTTGTATTATGCTTTTGTTTAATTAAAATTTACATAAAATATTGAATGATGAATTTTCATTATAAAAACTATGATGGGTTCAAGTGGTGATTTGGCAATCTTTGTCACTTTTCATTCTTGTTTTAAGTTCAAGCAAAGCACCAACGGCACCAAAATAACCCTACAAACAACAATTTAAAATAAATTACTACGAACAATTGTACATCATATTTTTTTATTTAATAGTCTTTTTAATTTCATATTCATTGGTGCATTCTTCCATGACTGATTTGATTAGAGCCTAAAGCACTTATGACCATTTGGTACCTCAAGGACGGGAATTTATTACAAGTGCACTCATTTCTGGTTTGAGAAACAGTAGAATGGGAAGAACAAAGCTTTTGTGTTTATTTGAATACAAACAAATATACACAATAATTATTCACATAATAATGGTTGAGAAATTGCTATCACTGAAACAGAATAGGGGGCACTTCTTAGACTGCCCATTGGAATGAGGATGTTTAGGGTTGCTTATTACAAAAACAAACTCGAGGCAAGAGGGGGGGGCACTTACCAGTGACTGGATGTTTATTGGAACAAATGAAGGGTGCTTAATGGAATCATTACCATAAAAGCATATCCTTTAAAAGACTTCATTTAATGATTACTATTTTTCTTTTCTGATTTGTACTTTATCTTTAATCTACAGCTCATTCACAGGTTCTTAAAATTCTAATTCTTCCCTGTAAATTGCATTAACAAATAGATCCCATGTTGCCATGCCTCTGATCAGTAATAGATCATAGTTAACATCAAAATGTAGAAAGAACAAAAAAATTGGCACACAAGGTGCAGCTGACTGTGTCACTGACATTGCCACCATCTGTTATCTACTACTGTCCAGAACCACAGCAACATGGAATATTTTTGTTTTTTGTGATGACAAAGCAAAATGTTGTGTATGATGATGTCATCTAAGTATATGACCTCCAATAGATCATACATAAGAACCAATTAAAGTTCTGCTATTCAGTTTACTATATAAACTGTAGTCATCATGATACAAATTATAGAGTCATTATTCCATAACTTTATTCCACTTGCGTCTATGGTATTACTGTTTGTTTGTTTTTTTGTTATTTTTTGGTTTGGTTAGTTGTGTAAAATAAATTCAAGTCAAGATTCAAAAGCAACATAGAAAGGCCTACCTCATGCGTCAGAAATAGAGCTTTCATTGTTCCTTTGGACCAATAATCCATTGCATAAGCAAGCAGCTTCATGGCTATTGTGTTACAGCGAAGGAAGTTGCCCACAAATACCACACATTCTACCTTCTGAAAATGTTACAAACAAAATTTAATATCCTCATGACTAGTAAAACACCCCAGAGGTTTTTTAGCCTATATGTAGCTGTACCCTCCCCTCCCTTCTATTTCTCCTTAGGTTAGAGGTTGTTCACCACCTCCTCTTTGTCTCTAGGTCCAATACTACATTAAACTGCCACAGTTGGTGTATGAAACACACACGACAACACTGTTTCACTTAACAACACTCACATGATTGACAGCACACATTCTTGCAATTGAACCAATGTTGTTAGTTATGGTGATAAGCATGGCTCTTGCTAAATCATTTTTGCTCACTGCAGATCTGTTCTGTTCACAGCACATCTTCCCAAAACTTAATAAAACAGAATTTCACATTAAAATGAAATGACACATAATGATTATTAATTTGTAGGACTTATTACTAGGTGAATAAATAATTAAAATACTAATAAAACACAAAATTGTGTATTACCCCTTTAACTCCCAAGAACTGATTGTGAATTCTCCTTTAAAGATGCTTTATGCTTCCTTGTTAACTGGTTATGAGAATTTGGGTTTAGATCAAGATAACAACATTTACCTGATAAGTTTGAGTATTCTCATTACCTGTTTGCTAGAAATTGTAGGAATATTGTAGGGAGAAGTTACATGTTAATCACTTTTGGGAGTTCAAGGGTTAACTGGCATCTTATGTAGGAGATCACTGTTGTTGCTTTGTGGAATATGGAAGCCTGAATTAATTTGAGAATTTGTAGCAAGTAAAATTTCACAAATTCTCACTCGCTTATTCTTGTTCATAAGAGATATACCTGCTTGCAACTGTATCTCCTTGTAAACCAAACTTAGAATAGTCCCCACCATAGATATCTCGCACCAGTTTATCAACTTTTGTGCTGTCACCCTCTTCAGCCATGGAAAGAGCTTCATCAAATGACGAGCAGCCAGTTAACAAGCAACAAAGGCCTAGAAATGTTCCACCTCCAAGACTAAAGGAAGACAATTTTGTTCAAAAGAAGTTAGCCTTTGATCTACAAAAAAAATCCTATCTTTCATCACCAATTACACAACTAACATGCTTCTGACCTAATTCTCTAATATCAATGTGTCCTTTGACCCTTTAACTCCCAAGATCTGTCTGTTAATTCTCTCCTCTAGCTGTTACACATTTCCTTAAATTAGTTACAAGAATTTGGTATTAGAACCAGATAAGTCTGATCTGATAAGTTTTAATATTCTACTTTTACTTTTTTGCTTGATAATGCATGGATTTTATAGGGAGAAGTTACTTTGTAAAATGGGTTTTTGTCAGCAATTGTGGTAAATAACACTTTCAAAAGAGAAATATAATCATTTGTCTCACAATGTGGTCACATTGGATGTGGATCCCAGCATTTCAACAGTATACTGCTACTCTTCTTCAGGCAATGAAGACCAGGATCTTTCAAAAAAGAGATATAATTGTTTGTCTCACAATGTGATCACTTTGGATGTGGATCACACTGTTTTGACTGCATACTGCTAGACTTCTTAAAGCACCTAAAGAAGACTAGCACTATGCAGTCAAAACATTGTGATCCGCATCCAAAGTGACTGCATCATGAGACAAATGATTACATTTCTCTTTTGAAAGAGAAGTTACATGTTAAACATGTTTTGATCATTTCTGGGAGTTTGAGGGTGAATTAGTGCTGCTGCCACTGGAAGTTTGAAACCCAGGGTTCTCAATAAGTGATGGCCATCAGCTGGAAAACCAGCTAGCTGATTTCTGAGCTGCCTACTTTTGATGAAGCAATGTGTGTGGTTGTGAACAGTAAACTGTAATTATAAAAACTAAAACAAGTCACTGCTACAATAAATTTCACGAACAAATAATTTTCTTAAAGCCATTCTTGTACTGAACAAAAACATGTTATTTGCTTTTACATTCTCTCACTGACTGAGCACTCTTCCAATCTCTTCCTTCAGCATGCTTACCTAGCCAACCAACTGCCATATTTCCTGGCATTTACCTCAAAAATACAGTGAGACCTCTGTTAAGTGGACACCCTTGGGACCTTCCCAAGTGTCCACTTAATAAAGGGTGTCCACTTAAATGAGGTTTGTAAAAATTGTGCTATATTTGTTAATGATTAACAATTTATGTTTTACTTTGTACTGTGATAAAGTTCCATGTTGTTAACAAAGCTATGCAGAGTTCAAGTTCATTACCTTAATTTGTAGGTAATAATGCAAAAACATAACAGCAAAACAGCCATGATAATACACAGGGTACATTCACTCTTTCTTTTGGATGGATTACATTTAATTGACTATTTCAAGGATGTAATCTTACACACTACATTTTCAATTCAGTCAGGTGTCTGCTTAACAGAGGTTTTTAACAATAGAAATTAGCCAAATACAATTTATTTTAGTGCCCACTTCTGCTTAATAGAGGTGTCTGCTGAATTTTAGTTCATTACAAGGGAAATATAAGATGTTAACTTTGGGACCTGGCTTAGCAGAGGTCGCTTAACAAAGGTTTCACTGCAATACATAAAATAGCACTTCAGAGCCTCTATATTTAAAAAATAATGTTTTGTATGAGAAAGAGACCCCATGCCGAGACCCAAGGAAGGAGCTGTAGACTTGTTGGCTGTTTACTTCATTTAGTTAGCCATCAACTCTCTAACTTATTGAGAACCCTGGAGACCACAATCTTGACAACAATCTGTTGTTATGATGGTGCACTTAGTAAAAGCAAATTATAATAAATAATGCAAAGATGGGTATTGCAAAATTATCAATTTGGCAGACCTATGACTGTCACAGAGTAATAGCAAGTAATTGAAAGTTTTACCTGGTACCACTTATCCTTGAAAACTTTTCTGCAGATTCCACAAACAAAATGCTGACTCCAGAACCAATGTTTACCACAATATAAGGATAAGGATTCAAGTCAAAGTTATATGGTACTTTTTCTGACTTCTCTAAACAGTGCAGGTTGTTCCAGTAGTAACATTCATTTACGCAGGAAGAGTTGATGAAGTGTATGCCATGAATGATACATTCAAGTTCATCATACTTCACAAGTTGTACACCTAGGATCTGCAAGGTTTAGACGTTCAGAGATTTAAGGCTGGCTTGGAAAATTAAAACAGCATTGATTAATGAGAACAGAGGGCTTAATTAGTGAGATGTTGCTTCTGGAAAAAATTGGAGAAAAAAAAACAGTTTCTCTTCAGGAAAGGTGTTTTTCACACTAATCAGACTTCAGGATTCATTTCCAAGCCCTCTTGAAAAACAATAAAAAGTAATATCTAGCTGAAAACAAAGACATACCTCTTTAAAATCCTTTTCAAATTTGAATGCTCCTCCACCAGTGGCACACACCTTGTCATTAAGGACTGATGCATTTAATTCTTCAGCAAGTAAAAGAAATTTTCCCACCACATCAGTTGAAAATCTAATAAAATGTAAATGTCCTTTTCTTCCTCCCAAAACCACATTTTCCATTGCCAACCTTTCATCTCTAGCTCCTGTTTCTCCATAATTAACATTTGACTTGATAAAATCTTGTATTGCCTCCAAGCCAACTTTGTCTTGTCCATTACGGTTTATTTGTAAATTGCATGGCTCAAAGTACACTAATTTGACCAAGCTTCCTCCGATGTCCAGGCCAAAGCAGGGAAGTCGAGCTAGGAAAACAACAATAATCAGTATATTTTCTTTCATGGAATATAGTGTTCATCATCCTTCATTAATACCATGATGACAATTTCCCACCATCAAAAATATTGGATGTGTTTCTTGTCAAGTTTTTTTCTTGTTATATAGTCTTGCTTTATCAACAGACAATTTATTTCTTTTAATACTGTGGCACCAAATGGTTTCCCCTCTTAAAGAAGATTACATATTCCATGTGTCTGAAATTAGTTTTGAAAATTTGGGAATATTCTCAGGGATTGATATTTTTTTGTAAAATCCCTTGTATTAGCTGTGAGGTATATGAATTCAGTCACCTGCTGAGTTCAGACCTTGTGCATGCAAGAAACAATATTTCATGGATTATTGCTATACAAACAAAATGTAAAGCAAGTTATGTTCACTTGTGATATCTAGTAAAATCAGCACATAAGGAAAATGTATAGTGTGCAATTACATCTTGCAATAAAAATTTATCCCGCGTGAAGGCTTTCTACCAAGGTTAAGATGAAAAAGAAATAAGGAATCAACACAGTTATGCATTTTTTATCTGAGATAAATATTCAGTTGTAAAAAATATCTTTAAAAAAAAAGACATTGTTTATGATTATGGACAAATGATACTGAAATACACCTGTAGTGGGGTGGGGTGAAAAAGCAAGAAAAAATACTTACAGATTTTCCTCATAATGAGACCTTCAAAAGACTCACGTGAATAAAAGAAATACAGTATCTTACAGCTGTGTAGATGAAATTAAGAAGCCACAGAATTTTTTGTGGACATTAATGTTGCAATTAATGCACTACATTAAGCTTATGACATTAAGCTTATGCTCATGCAGTGTTCTCCTTTTCAGGCAGTAACTGGTAACATTTAGCACCTGTAGTACCTCTTATTATTGCTTGGAATTCTTTAAAATTCAACAGGTAAAAGGATCGCTTTACCAGTTTGAAAATCTATTTTACCTGTCATGCGTGAAATAAGGGAGAACACTGCTCATGGTGTTAAGAGCATTTGAAAAAACAAAATGTGTTGTAGTTTTAGTCATGACTAACAGGACTCACCTGGAATCCATTAAATATTAATTGTTTTTCCTCATGAATTCAAATTTACTTATCTCCTTAAAAAACAAGTTTACTCCTTCTTGAGTGAGGAAAAGACAAATTGTGGAAAACATTTCTGTTTATGTTTTTGGAACTTGATTTCCAGTATAAGAGGTTCTGATCCCATAAGTTAGAGGTTGTAAATTTCTTCCATAACATCAACTGCTTTATAAAAAGGCGGCCAGTTTTGCTCAACTTTTACAACAAAACAAAGAATGATAAATGACTGACTAAATTAATAAACAACTTTAGTTGATAAAATTTTCATTAAGTTTGCAACAATAGACTTCTTAGTTTGTATGTTTTGTTTACTCATTTCACCCTAAGTGATAATAATATAGAAAAGTGTCCTTTATATTCCTTCTTGTTCACATCCAAATCTATGCATAATTTTTAAAAGATAAAGCTGGGAATTCCCTTGAGACCTGAAATGGGTAAACAAAACAGACAAGCCACAGAGGTCTATGCAGATTACTAAGTTCAACATAAAATTGGTACATTTTAAATTACCTTACCCGCCCAGAGCCTGAAACACACACAGGACATGTTTACTTGACATTCTACCTCAATACACACACAAATACATACATGCACATACACAATAAAAACAAAGAGAGGAAATAGGGCGGGACTAGCCATGGGTGATACTACATTCAGTGAACGATTATGCAATTTTGATCTTTGCAACTGTAGCGTAAATATTTTAAATCTTAAATAAGTTTATATAAGAGATTTGTAAGATTATAATTCAAGTTACGTATCATTTCTTCTAAAGATATGTTTTGTTTGAGACTAACCTTTATTCATTTCAGTTCTCAGTTACTTCCCTCTGTCCAAACTGGTCTATTTACGCCAGACACGTCACGCTCCTCAGATACATCGTGTCATGTTTCTACGTCATGAGATTTGCGCTTGACTAATGATCCATTATATCCCGTAAAATAACGTGCCAACTTGCCGCCATTCCAAAGGCCGTAAGTCCACTACTGACCACTTTTATATCTCAAACGGTTTGTCAAGGTTCCATAAGTCACACAACTGTGCAAATTACCGGCGATCTCCCAGGGTGATCTCCCAGGCGTGCACTATATCTGTCAACGTGTCCTTGGAGATCCTGAAGGACTGGGGCGAGCGTACGAAGGGTTTGAATGGTCCGCGGCATTACTTAGCCGAACTATCCCTATTTGTGTACGAATATACAAAACATCTCAGAGTCAAGGGATTTACCCATAATTCCTGCGTTAGCTATCAAGCCACATGCAAACAAAATGTCGACGTTTTCTCACTACAACGAGAGAGGGGTCATTCGAGATATTCAATCTCTCGCGGAAATCATTCATCTCGACCACTCGTATGCCAAGCCATGGTCAGCACATCCCGATGCATCAAAAGTACGTCCAGTCAAAACTTTGTTTCTGCCCAGAGAAGATCTAGAGAACTTGCCTTTAGCAGACGATGAGGAAATCGATGTATGCGAACCGGCTGTTCCATGTTATTCTGCCAACATCATGTATGATACTGCAAAAGCTAAGACAGTTATGGCTGAATGTGAAAAGTTTGTGAGCACTGTGTCTAGTAAGAAGACTCCAGACACATGGGAAGAGCAAATTTCCAGGTAAAGTTGTGTTGTAATATTTGTTATTGCTATAAAATGCAGAAAAGTGTCATCACGGGCGGACGACACCAGTTGACAGATTTGTGACAACTCTGATATGATACGATGTATTGTATCGTACCTTTTATTGGGTTTGTCAATTGTCAGTGTCAATGAGGCTGTTTTTCGTTTTTGGAGATTCAAGCAACATCGCTTCGTATAGGCTACCATGGTAAAAGAGGCAGGAGAGAAAGCTCACTTTGACTCAAGTCCATAAATACTTAGTTATAGAACGAATTGCGGCCGTTCTGCCCTAAGTCGATCCGCCTGAGAATGGAAGTCGATCCGCCCGACGAACAAACAGTGCATCAAATTACAGAGATTAAGCATTATTCCATTTTTTATTTCTTTTAGTAATGTTTATAGATATTTGTGGACCGTGTTATCAAAACAACAGCTCATTCAACCACTGGGATATTTAACTTCTTTGGAACTTCTGTGATCAAAAGTGAAATCATTTTTTTTTTTATGTAATAGACACATAGAGGCCAAATATTTGAGGTAAAAAGTCGGTTGTGATGTCAGTATACAACTCAGAAAAAAACATCACACCATTCATGTTGTATTTTATTACAAAAACTCATAAAACACTAGTTTTATTTTATGATACCATTTTAAAGAACTCTACACAACTCATAGATAAGATGACATATACATCGGGCGCAGTTACTTCAAAATTTGGGCAGAAAGGTCTTGGGTGGTTTGACTCTTGGGCAGAACGACTGGATACCTATAAAACAGATGCAGCTAACTACGCGACCGCCAGACAAAAGTCATAAAATTGGTGCTTTTCGGTTAAAAATCACTATGGCTATCAAAATGGACGCAGCCTGGAGCACTGTAACACCAATGCAAAATTTCTGTGTCAATTATTCCTTGTACTGCTGGAAACAAGCTCATTTAAAATTAAGTGCATGACTGGAAATATACTGGGGTTGAATTTTTATTTCTGTTTTATTGTCAAGATGCATATTTCAAGAATCAAAAGAGATGTTAACATTGAACCACAACACAGTCAAACATAGTAAATTTTTCTTTTTTTTCAGAAATGGCTGGGGTGCTAAGCAGAGTGTCTTGTTTGACAAAATTACAAAAGTCCTGTCAAACCTGAGACTAGCAAGATTGACCTACGAAGGAGTAAGACTTGTTTATATTATTACCTTATAGAGTACATTTACTGTAGTCAGGCTCTTGTAGCTACTGTAGTGTGAGTGGTGAGGCTGCCCTTTCATTAAACTTACAATGTCCATGAAACTTTATGCCATGTAGCACGTAGAGTGACAGGGATCTGACATCTTACCTGGAAAGCATCCAAACAAATTGGATTGTAGAGAAATGTGGAATTCTTTTAGTTGAAAGAGTCAGAATTCATTTACTTGCTAATGTAATGTCTGCTTTACAGCTTCCTAATGAGCCTGTAATGAGACGTATAACAACAGACAAGGCAACCAAGAGAACAAGACAAATCTTGAGTGAAACAGAATGGGTGAGTTTGGTTTGCTTTCCATTGGTCTCAAACTGTGTCCGTTTCATATGTAATGGCCTAATATAGTAAACCTGGGTGTTGAGAGAATTTACAACTTCTTGCTTGCCAGTAGATCACTGGACTAAATGTTTCTTTTTGACAACTAAGGAATAGAACCTTTCCCCCATGACAAAGTTGCATACATGTGATGTTTCAGTCACAAGTCATACGGCAGGCTGTTGGGTGATAAAAAGGAGGGACAAAAGTCATTAAAAATGATTCTAATAATTGCTTTTATTCTGGTCACAATATTGTACTCATACTTTATTCCATAGGATCCAAATTTAATGAAATGGCTGCACAGTACCTTAGTGGATGGTTTGAGTATTCCTCTGTTGGCTTGCTACCTTGATGTACTTCAGACTCTCAGAGCCAAAGTGAGTCTCATTTCTTATACATTCAATTTCACTGTTTTATTCTCACGAGTGACCAAGACAGAATTTCTCCTTAAAATATGAGTAAAAAATCAAGCAGACAAGTCATGAGAGTAAAGAAAACATTTGAACTGGGAAATTTACCAAGTTCTCTGAACTAACATCCTAAGAATTGGTTGGTAGACATTGGCTTGGGAGAATTAATATTGAGATCTTGGGAGTGACAGGGTTAAAGGTTTAAAATGTAGACCATGAAAAGCACTTACAGTGCAAAGTTTAAAAATTACCTGGTAAAATTGTGCTGAATGCCTAAGTCAGTGGCAAGCAATCAGGGCAAGCTGTGTAGTCTAGTTATGGGTGACTTGTTTGTGACTTCTGGTGCATAAAGCATTCTATCCATGATTAGTGTTTCTGGTTTCAGGTTGAGTTGCTCATTAAGAATTGTGGTAATTTATCTGAAACAAGAGAAACACAAATCAAACCAGTTTAAAATCAGTTAAATTCAGTGGTCAGTCTGATTGTTAAAACGCTTAAACAAAGTACCGTAAATGTCCATGTATAAGCCGCATCCGTAGATAAGCTGCACCCCCGATTTGGAAGCGCAGAATTTGGAAAAAATAAAACAATATAGTTTGAAGTTTCAATAGAGTTGTATTGCTACAAACAATCAAGGTTTCAAAACACCAACATAGAAGTTGTGGCTATCTTTCACATTTATCAAGTCTAAAGAAAGCAAAATTTCATTTGTCGTACCTTCTTTTTCATTGGAATTTACACAATCTTTAACTTAAAATGCTCTATCGGTCCGATTTTTCAAGATTATCTCTTTGAAACACACCATAAAGTTGAAATTCCTTCGCATTGAAAAAACAAACAAACAAACAAGTGCTTAGTAGCCAAGCTTTAAATGTTGGGAGGAGTCTGGGCCTTTTGACTCAGCTGTTCGGGTATACCACGTGTATAAAGATGTTTGGAAACCCGCAATAGGCGAAAAACTTCATGCAGAACAAGAGCCTGATAATGCAGTTGACAAATTTGCCATGAAGGTAATAAAAAACAAGGAGAGATTCCTTGTATGTTGGTGTTTAGTTGTTCGAGTAAACGAAAATTAATCGCTTGAAAGAACTCTTGGAGAGCAAGATTCGCTGATAAACACTCGAAGACACAAATGGCTCCTTTACGAGCCACTACTCAATGAAAAAGTCAATGAACTACAGCAACATGTTCTCAGTTTCTTTTATGTTTGTTTCTTGGCATCTTAAGAAGTTTTATGAATATTAATTAGGTTTTTGAGAATTCCAAACACAGATGTATCTATGGATAAGCTGCACCATTGATTTTTGGCTTCAATTTTGTGAAAAAAAGTGCGGCTTATACATGGACATTTACAGTAATATATTTTAAAGGATTACAAAATATGGTCATTGAATATTATTTACATATTATGTAACCTAACCTGAAATAACAATGAATTAATGTTTCAGAGCTTTTGAAATTATTTCATGTTTATAAAATGTTTAATTACATTGTAAATACATTGTATTCCCTGAAGGTTCCAACACTTGTCGATCGAATGCTTGTTCAACCTTCCAGTCAGCGCCGTGGCTTGGCAGCCAGCCCAGATGCTTTAAACTTGCTTCTGAAAAGACCTTGGGACCCTGCCCATGGACTTGTTACTCAACATAAACAGGTATCACAGCTCTTTTGATGGCAATTTAAAATCAGAACACATTCATTAAGAGAAAATTAAACAGATGCTTGTGGATTGAGAGCCTAAAAATTGGAAAAAAGATTGCCTTGTTGCGCTAGTGACTCTTGGAAAAAAAGGAAAATTCTAAAATTTTAGTTGTCAGTTTAAACACATTTTGATAGGTTTTTGCTTATGATCTATTGGAGGACAGATGCAAAGATGTTGTTTGCATTTTTATTATATAAAGATCATTTTAAGTACATTTGTGGAGAAAATATCTTTTAACATGAGAGAATAACATTGCATATTCATAATGTGCAAATTTCATTTTGAGAAACTTTGTTTCCTGAGTCACAGTGTATTTTTATCCCTCTCTTCAAAGCGTAAACTACCTGGAACTCCTTTACTCTTGGTTGTGCCCAGTGGCCCAACAACAAGCATCTGTTCTGGAACTTCATCCAAGCGGGCTCGCTTCTGGCACAACCACTTGTCTGTCCTTGGAAAAGTTGTTCCTGTTACCATGCACACAAGCAATGGGGGAAGTGGGGTGTCAATCAGCCAGTGTTTGGATCACATTATTGGTGCTGTTAGAATGAAAGTTTTGGAGGTATGAAAAATCTTTAATTGGATGGTATGCATTGGTTGGTTTTTCATTGCTGATTGTGTTGGTTGGAATGTGAAGATCCAATAGCTATTAAAGTGACCCAAGCTTTTAGAGATCTATCAGAACCAATGTTTTCTTGAACTGTTTGAGGGGTCTGATGGGACTCCTTACAAACCCTCTTGCTCGTGCACATTGCTCAAGCCATCATGTTCGCCTACAAGGGCAAAGAAACACTTGTGCTGAAGATGTAATATTGAGGGCCTGCTCACAAGCTTAGTGGCCTATCGTGTATACTGTAAGATTGTGTACAATGTCTTGATGTAATGTTCATGTGTGTTGGCCATGGTATTTCTTCTGATATTGAGGAAATCATAAATTTGCTGTCTGGGTAGACAATGAATGGTAAATCTTTGCTGATTTGTAACACACCTCAGGTAAATCTGATTTTGGTTATAATGTACTTTTATCCTCCAGTTAAGAAGTCATTTTCCTAACCGTCCTGTCATTCTGTTGGGCTGGTCTGTTGGCGCCTTGGTCTCGTGCCAGGTAGGGAATAGGGATTACTAATCAGAACACAAATAAGTAGCTCAACTAGTAATAGTGTGCCTAGCCAAGGCATCACAATATTTGTCTTCTTTAGTCTACATGTGATGATTATTGTTAGTAGGTATACCTTTATACTGTAGTTAGGACAGTGCTTTTTTGATCACTTAAAAATGACAGTTTTTTAATCAGAAAATTCAACATTACTACACGTAATAAATTTCTAGGGAAAGAAAAGAGAAGAAAGGCTATATTCACCTGTGTCGCCATTTTTCATTTTTAAATAAATGCCTAATTATTTAGATCACATTATTTAGATCTATTTAAGGGAGGTCATTCATGTACTTTGGTTATGTTTAATGTCTGAAATGTAATATGACCATTCAATCATATTCAGCCTTTAACACTTGATGATATAATAGTTATAACATGGTTGTACTTTAGGTTGCCCTTATGGAATCTGTGTGTGCAGTTGTTTGTCTTGGTTTCCCAATTACTGGTTTATCAGGTGTAAGAGTGGTGAGTAAACAAGTTATACCTGTGATTGAATCAAACCTTGAACACAATCTTTTTAAAAATTATCTTAAGTCCAGATGTGATTAACACATAAATTCATACATTATTTTACAAACAGGTATTAAGAATACTCAAACTTATCAGCTACATGTAGAAGTTGTGTCTTGATCTAACACCAAATTTTCATAACTAATTTACTAAGAAAGGTAAAGCAGCTGGAGGGGAGAATTGACAATCAGATCTTGGTAGTTAGAGGCTTAAGTAAGGTTAAATAGTGACACAACAGATCTGTGAACTTCATTTCTCAGCTTTGAAAACCACCTGTCTGTCTCACTTTGCTGCGGCTTTCAGACTGATAACCACAGCAATGTATTTTTGGAGTTCATCAAGATAATTATCTCTGCTCAATGTGTGAAGCTCTTTCTTTGGACTTGTACCGTGAGGATAAATACTCAGTGATGTGTTTGTTTCAGGGAGTGGAAGATCCTTTACTGGAGTTGAAAACACCCACTTTGTTTATTATTGGATCGCATTCGACTCTCACGTCACAAGAAGAAGTGGAGGTATGTTTCATCTTTTTTTTTCCTGTCTGATTAAATAGGAACAATTCAGATAACTGAAAAACGTACTTACATTTTATGGTATACAAGATTTCTCTCTGTAATCCACATTAGCAATCACGAAAAATATCACTGATATAATCAACATACTATGCTTTGCATGTCACATTGCTTTGTATTTAATCTAACTAAGAAGACTGACGATATTCAATTGTTTAAAAAGATAGGGATTCTATTTCATGTCTGAAAGCAATACGGTACCCAGGACATGAGGATTTAAGCACACAGTGTATGAAATGGTAGTCATATGCTTTTGAACAGTTCGTTTCAACACATATGTTCTTTTTGTTTATTTTTGTTGTTATTTTAGGAAATGCGCGAGAAAATGAAAACAGACACAAGCCTTTTGGTAGTGGGAGGAGCAGATGAACAGGTTAGGTAGTCTTCTACGGTTAGTCGAGGGTATCGGGGTTTACGTTGCACCGGTGACTTTGAATTGTGATCAGAGACAGAAAATAAGTAATTTTGAATTGATTTTAACATCATTGTCTGGCTGAAAAAAAAAAGATAAAGAGCCACTCAAATATGTTCCAGAATACTGGAACTCACGTCCCGGAGAGTTTTAAATCGCAAAATTTTCTAGGAAAGCATGCACCCGGACCCCCTCCCCCTTCCCCCTTCCCCCTTCCCCCTTCCCCCTCCCCCCCTTCAATAAAAGCGTGTCATTTGCGATACACCATACTTTTTTCCCCAAGACCCTCTCTGCATGTTACTGTACATACATGTTTATCTGAGTGACCCTTCCTTTCTTCAATTACTTCAATTTTACCTGGGATGTTATGGTTCAAACCAAGAGTTGGTATCAAACGTCTACTAAAAAGTAAGAAATTTCTCAACTAATGTCAAAGGGAATTGAGGATTTCGTTGGTTTTTCTTGACTAGAAATCTCAATCGAGATTCCCCTATTTGATTCCCCCTCAAATCCATTTCTCTTTCTTTTGCTTAAAAATCTGAGATTGTTTGACTTTTGTCTTGTTTTTGGAGGGAAAAAACGGAAGCTTGAGTTTTCTTACGGCTTTTTCGCCATATTTTCATTCTTAATTAGTTGTTCTAAATTGAGAAAACATTAAACATTACCGGGTTGCTGTGAAAAAAAAAATCGGAGTTAATCTATATGTTCCCAAAAGACTAAATTGCAGTTTTCGTGATGCCATCTTATTTTTGTTCTAGTTGCGTCTAACTCGCGCGAAGAAGAAACAAGAGGGTCTTACTCAGAGCATGGTGGACAGATTGATAATGGTATGTGTCATTTCAATTTAATCTCGTTCATAAGTCACAGGGACGATTTCGCGTAGAGCAGCCAGTAGCTACAAGTCCAGCTGCTATATTGATCGAGGAGTGTAAGGGTGGATGCTTGTTTATATTTTTCGAGTTTTATTTGCAAATCCAATTTCACATAGAAGTTAAAATGTCCAGTAAATTACTCATCAACAATTTAGTATCACTAATCTCATTTCATCGGGAAATTCGGTTCCTTTCTAGGATGAAATCGGCGACTTCTTAGGAATAGTTTTGACGTCTATGAGCAGCAGTAGTTCACATAACAGAAATGACTCTTCGGACATGGACGAAATCGATGTCCGGAAAAAGAAAAGGAAACGATCGGTATCACGAGATCTGTCGTCGGAATTGGAACGCTCGGCGGGTAAGCAAGCACTGACGTCACAAGCATCGGCAAAGAAGTCAACCCCCCATAAGTCTTCTGTTCAAGAACAAGGAAAAACGTTACTCAAGCTACCGTTAGGCAGTACATTGGGGGCCATTAGCAGCGTTCGCTCGCTTAGCCAGCCCAGCCCAGCCAAACGACCGAGGACTTCCAAGTCCAAATCGAAACCAACCAATCCGCCTCCAAGTGTAATTCACGTGACTGGAGCTGCATCTACATCGGTAGTTACCAGTGTTCCTCAAGCAATTCCCGTGCACCCTGGTTCCCTTACTGGGTTTCCATTACATGGAACAACTGTTACTCGCCAGGTGCCCTTGTCAAGCACGTCTGCAGGTGCACTAGCCACTGCCAACAGAGGGCAAGCCTTCATTTCTTTGACACCGAAGAGCTCAGATCCTGGTGTAAGGGTCACACAGACATTCATTACTCTACCGCGAGGAAGCTCTCCCTCGGTCTTGTCGTCAAATGCTGCAACAGGGCAGACCGTGCAGTATATCATTAAGCCTCAAAGTCAGCGACAGACACCTGTGAACCTCAGCTCTGTTGGTACTGCTCTGTCTGCTCAGGGGGGTGTAGTACCCACTGCTTCTCAGTTGCCTGTAAGGACCATTGTGTCAGCACCAGTCAGGCAAACACCTCTTTCTCAATCATCGAGTTCTTCGTTTACTTCTGTTGTGAGTCTCAAAGGGGCCACTGTAACAACGCAAGCTCCTTCTTTTCCATCTGGGGCTGTATCGACGTCAAATACATCTTTATCTGCTGTTTCCTCGCTTGGGAAGTTCTCCCCATCGTCAGGTGTCCTGACCTCTGGAAGGCCTTCTTTCACCCGAGTAGGTGACGCCTCTCAACCATCAACTATCAGTGTTTTGACCAAGGATGGAAATAAGCTTGTTATGTCCCAAGGTCTTAAAGGATCGTACAAGATAGTCAGTGGTACAGCGCTACAACCTGTGGGCAGTGGAACTAACACCCTGACTGGCCAGACCCAAGTTATGTTTGGGCATCCTGTGCGATCACCTGCTAGTAGTACCCAGACAGTGATCAATCAAAAAGGGCCAGGGGCACCAGGAACGGTTGCCACCTCGCTGCCCGTTAGTCTCGCTGCTTTAGCCGGAAAACTGAATAGTAGCAGCTCAGTTTCTCAAGCCGGTGGAAGAGTTACTCTTGTCCAAAACACGCGAGCACCTACCCTTCTTAGTCAGCCAGTTAGGACCGTTCCCAGCCAGGTGGTGTCTGTGCAAAGAACAGTACCTAGCAGGACTACCAACCCCCAAGCTTCAGTGGTACCAACCCTCCCAGGTGCGGTGACAGTGGCGAGATCAGCAGCTACCCAGATCTCTAGAGTCGTCTCTTCCGGGTCACCAGTTACTTATGTACAGTCTGGAACAGCCATTGTGACCAGTAAACCGATAAGTTACCCTGTAGTTGGTTCACAAGCGACTTCCATGGCAGCCCCTTCTTTTGCTGTTTCTTCCACGGCAGTATCTACTGGCAAAGTAGGGCCATCAGTGCAAGGGGTATCAGTCAGTAATAAGGTTGGAGCGGTGACAAAAACAGTATTCAGTGTGTCGAATGAGAAAAAGAGTGATTCTCAGCCTTTAAATGTCGCGGTCATTCCAGGCTGTGGCGGAAGTCCTGCTCAGCAAGACACGAAAACAGTACCAGTGGCTCAGGTGGCTTCATCAGCGAAAACTACCGCTACAACTCAATCGGAAGTGAAGAAAGCGTCGCCTGCCTACCCTGGCTCCAACGATTCCGTCCCCAAAGAGACGGCTTCGTCTTGACCTTTGTTTTCTGCAAAAGAAAAAAGAAGAACTCTGAAGATAATTGAAGACTTATCTCAATGATTCGATTCCTCATGAATAAAAAACATAGTCTCTCTAGAGTTTCTGGCCGCGTGTATTCAAACTCAAGTTTATTCTCACTGCACTGTTCGAGCTTAATCAGTCATTAACTTTATGATTGTAGTCTTTGTGTCTATTAAAAAGACGTGCAACCGACTTGAACTCGTGACTGAGAATCCTTGTTTGCTGGCTGACGGTTTTTTCGTATTCCACTGCTATTTTTGAGTTTAAAGCCTGTGATTTCGTGGTAGGGATGGGACTTGTGATTGGTCACGGAAGTTCTTGCCACCCCCTCGACCAATCAGACGCAAACCTGAAACCAACTGCGAGTGTCGCGACTTCGTCATTCCCGATTTCCCGCGTCCCACGCTCAAGAACTAAAATCAATAGCAGCGAAGCAAACTTGCGAAAATGATTATATCAAAATGTGCCGATGTGTTTCATCGGGTGAGCATAGACTTCTGCACAGGTGTTTACGTTACAACGAGTCAAGAGGCTGTCCTGATACCTAAGAGTTAACGTGTTTTATATTAATCATAACCATTATCACAGTCTGCACAGTTGTACTCAGGCAGTGTAATCGGACAGTTGGCTGAAATTGGACACCTGTAACCGGACAATTGAAGCAGCCAATCATAGTAAGTCCACTCAGCTAAATCCACCAGTCGCAGAATTGATCACAATAACCATAGCAACAACCACGTATCCAAAAACAAACCGGGGAATTTGCAAAATAGAGGAATTATTGACTCATGACATTGTCTCCGCCGGCCATATTTGTACTAAGTGTATTTGTTTTTTGGAGATTGAAATGGTTCCTGTTGGTAGGACTTTCTGTCGTCCAATTCTGTTTGTAATTCCACTCGTGATTAACAATCCCGCTTCGCAGTCGTCCGATTTTGTTATTCACTCCTATTATTATAGGCCGAATTGGACTAAACTCGGTCCTGTTACCATTATAAACTATGGTGTTATACAAGGATTTCTAACCCTGAGAAAAGCCATAACAACACACGTGAAAAAATATCGTATTTTTTCCACGCGTTTGATATCGCCAATCAGCTGCTAACACGCCACTCGCCTTTCACGCCGCTCGGTCAGGTTGATGAATGAACGGCAAAGCCTTCACCATTCTCAATCCAAGGTCGTTTGTCGGACGTTCAAACTTTTCTAGAAGGGGAAGAAAACCAAAATACGGAAAGAAAAACCGAAAGTTACGTATTCAGTGGCTTTGATAGTGGCATTTCTCGAGGCCGATTTTGGCTGTGTACTAAAAGATTTCTTCTGTAGGTAAGGACCAAGTCAATAACTGAGAATTTTGCATTTTGAAAATTACGCCCATTATTTGTTTGTGTAGTGTTTCAACGCATTTTCTCATCTTGAGCCTTAGCTCCAACGCACTTTACGATTTTTGTTCGGGGATTGTCGATCCTTTGGTTTTCATTGATTAATCAAATTGACTTTTCTTGTCAGTAAAGGGCTATTGTGTCTATATGTTAAACAAAATATCGTGTTCAACTCTATATCTCACTCGTTAGCTGCGCTCACTCGTGAGCTATCGAGTCAAACAATCGAAGAGAAAATTCGTATCCCCCGTGGCAGGGATACGAATATCCTCTATTTATTTCGTCTTACGCTCTACATTTGTTTTACCGAGATTCGCTAAATGCACGTTCATTTTCCTGTAAATATGGGAAGAGAGTTAGGACTTATCAAGCGTAATACATATTCTCGACCTCTTTGATGCAGTGAAGTCATCGAAATTTCCCTTCACCAAGAACAGGGCTTGAAACAGCATTGTACTGTTTCGAAACCGCGACGATTGTTTGTAATTTGAATTTTATAGTTTCAATATTTGCGTTTACTTTATAATTGTTGCTGCTCTGAAAAATTGTGCTTCTCGCAGTTAAGTTAAACGGTACAACCGATTCCTCTGACTGACTAATGCTTAACTAAATCTGTAAGCTTGCTCCCCCCCTACCCTTTGAAATTACTGTTAATTTGTTAATTTGTTAATTAGTGTACATTCGAGACTGGCGCTAAATTTAAGGCTATTTTTTCACTTTTCCTCGAGACTAAAGATTATTGAAGCGGATAAAATTCACTAAACTCTTCATTGTTCATGTGCTTAGACGTTTCCGAGGACACTTAGGTAGAAAAGGGGGGGGGGAGGTGGAGGGTAAGAGAATACTAGAGATGCAAAGATATGACAATTAGTAACAGAAAGCGCAATTCTGAATTGCAAGGTAATACTGTTACTCGCGAGAGAATGGATGAGATTCATGGTTTGTTGATGGTATTTTCGGCGTGTCTCGCTCATGCTCAGTTAATGGATTAATTGAACTTCACAGTTAAAACCATTTCGAGCAGGAATTAGATGTAAGACTCAGCACGAAACGGAAATATTCGTGATTCGAATTAAGAGCCTTGAAAGATTAACCTTAGTCTCTTATGTTATTCCATATGCATCATGAAATGAATCATCCTTTCTCATCATGACAAACGCTTATTCTTTTTCAATTATGCTTCAAGTTTGACCAAGGAAAAGAGGAATTTGCAAAATAAAGCCGATGTGTGGAAACAAGTCTTTCGATGTTAAGCGACGGTCACTTGATAAGTGATATCTCGCCGATTAATTACATCCGTTGTCGTGAACATTATCGGCAAGAGATAGACGGATAGTCATGCAAATGACAAATCGGCTCTTTTGGCAAAGAAACTTTGCAAGTAGAATGCGTCTTGACTTCTGAACAACGGCAGAACATTCGTCGATCTTTATGCTTTTTTGGTTTCCCTTTTTCGGAAGAATGGTTGGCTAAAAACCTCCCTCTTGGACTAAGACCATGCTTGACTCGCTAGAACCCAAAACATAGAACCCCTCTGTTGCCTGATGCACAGTTCACTCATTTTTACGCATGGATGGAAAAAGATCTAGATTAAATGTGTCCTTCCATAATGGTGCATTCCGCTCGAATCCTAGAGGCTTTCACATCAGAAACTCATCAACACAAACGCTTAATTTTTTTTTTCCTTTGATGGGTATGACGGATAAGTACACAGGGAGCGGAAGGTCGGGTTATCGGGGTCAATGTAAAACACGAGGTCTACGCCGAGGTCTGCAGAGGACAAGGAGTGCTTTTCGTAAGTTGATACTCTGAAAATGCGGACAGTTCCAAAAAAGCATTACTGAGGTCGGACCCAAAGACACGCTAGTGCCAACTGATCTGCTAGTTTAGCTTCCTCAAGCATTGGACATTTCAAAATCGATCTCTTCACGGTGTTTCTAAGCTAAACTACCCACTTCCTATGTTAATACCAGTATGAAATGTCGCCATCACTTTCAGAGATCTTCTAAGGTTCGGGCTGGCTGGATCGTGTTAATAAGAATGCCGGAAAATGTTTATTTTTATGGTCTCATCTTGTGGGTAAAACGGAAATATCCTATTTTTTTAAGGCGGGTGTTGGCCTATCTTTGTAGATATCAAAACTTTGCTTTAAGACACTCAAGCAATACCTAACCGATCACCTCGGTAAATGTTTACAACTTCATTAGCAACGTTGTTAGAAATATTGTCTAGAGATATTGATTTTTGCAACATTTCCATGATTTTTAACAGCCGGAAATCGTTGATGACTATGCAGTTCCTGATTTACACGCAGTTTTAAGTCAAAAGTTCCAGTTCGGTTGTCATTAACTATAAAGGCTTTACTAATGCTCTTTTTCTTTTCTTTAACAAGTGTTTTCCATAGTATACGACGCAAACCCCATACTTGGTATATCCTGAACCAAGCCCGAACCCTTTTTTATGTCCCATATCTCTCATCTACCTTTGCCTCTGGGGTTTTCGTTGTTACCCTTATGAGTTAATGAAGTCTAAAAGGAACAGTCTATAGTCTACTTGTCGGGGTGATACAGCATAGCTTTGGTGCAAGGATAGAGCTTCAGTGTGTAATTTTACGGATAACTTAAAACATGTTCTTGAAAAACTGTGTGGTATGGTACGAAAATAGTGGAATGCAGGTGGATCCAAAAACGGCTCAGTTAAGATGATAATTAATAGATAAGTTTTGGTGTGAAGTGTCTCAAAGCACTGCCGCCTGTACTCATCACGCAAAGACATGACTCAAAGTCCATGGGGATATCTTTACCTCAGATTTTTGTTGCTAGGTTATTCCACGTTTTCCTCGGCCAGAGAAAAATATGCATTATCTATCCTAAGTCGAATAGGTGGCAATTAACAAACATTTGTGTTTATTGAAAACAAAGCTTTGTCCCTTTCTCGTGTGGAAGTAACCACAAAAAAGCTCTTTTAACCAACTCTGTGTGGGAAACATATCGAGAGTTCGGCTTTGTGGTGTCATTAAGATAACATACCGTGTGTGGGCGCTTTGGTCAATTACCAGCGCTGACTTCGTCTTACAGGAAATAACTAACGTGCCGGAGAGGTACACAAATTATCTCCCTCTAATGATGATTATGCTCTTCCCAAAGCAAAGTCCGCTGGCGCCAGACGGCACGGACAGACACTTGATCTATTTGTAGTGGTGCGGATCATGCATTAGTTTCCGCCAAATCAAAGATTATGCAACACCGTCATTAGGACAATTGTATAATCAAGGCGCCATTAAGGTGCCAAATCTGTCTGAAATAAGAATTTGTAGACGATTTTAAATACTCTCCAAGTTGACTTAGCACCATACAGCTGCAGGTCATGAAGCCCCTATCTCCAATCAATCGCCCCGAGGTAACCCTGAAGAGATCTAACATGTTGCTTAGTGTCTCAGTGCGTAGATGACACTGAAAAGGGATAACAGTATCAGGGTTAATTTAATCAAGAAAACCCGTTTAAACATAGGTGATCCCTTGGGTTGCTTGACTCCAGGCCACCCAGTTTCTGGTGATCCCCCAAGTTACTCGACTTGATTCTGCAATAATCACTGCATTGAAAAGCTAATCGTAGAAAATTGCTAAAAAAGCTATAAGTAGAAAATTGAACCATCCTTATGTTATTCTGATGTTATTTTGAAACCACCTAAATTTATCTTTTTTTGCCATTTCGTACATCATGTTTCACTCATCTTGTATTACTCTGGTTCCTTCTGGAATGTTCCATCACTAATTGACATTATGGCCGTTAGTCACTCTTCCTCTCCCTT